CTCACACAGCCAGGATGTCTACGTGGGGCGACCGAGTCTGGACCATCCCATTGAAGCAGCTGACCATGTCCAAAGCGATGGATCAGTAAGCGAACTTTGCAGTTAGTCTGAGAGACATCCTGACCTTCTAAGCTTTTAAAACCTCGAGAGTTCATAGGATTCCCCCACAAAAACAAGTGATTTAATCTGCAAGCAGTGAACCTGGCACTGGTCACTTTCAGAGACAGGGTGCTGGGTTAAATGAACCTTTGATCTGATCTCATATGCATATGTAAAATAGAGTTTGTCTCCTGGGTGGATGTCTGTTTCTCTTCCTTTACTCACGTATGTTGGTGATCTCCCTCAGACTGAGGTGAGTAGGGCCTCCCCACCTTAACTCTTTCTTTTCCTTTAGTGGTTTTGGGGGAGTGCTCCTTGTTTTTAGGGTTTTGGGGTTTGGGTGGTTTGTTTTGAGAGCAGTATCACATTGTCATAACTTTGAACCAACCTCAGATGTGTGACAAAGGCCCTCTGGGTATATAAGGCACTTCCAATACTGAGTGGTCACTAGGTTTCCAGGAAGTGGAAGCAAACATATTTCAGTCACAGGATACATGGGCTAAAGGACAAGTCCTCACCAGCTCACCTATACTGACAGGCCTAAAGATAAATCAGTCCACTGGCCAGAAAGTCCGTTACAAAGCAGCTCATTAGGGAAAACTCTGCACAACAAAATGGTCTCCTCGGACATGGAGCCAAGTGACTAATGGGCCACCTTTGATTTCCCCAGGAACACCGAGCTGGCTGTGACCCTTGGCTAGAATGACCAGGGGACAGATGGAATTGGGTAGGAGCGGGACTATAGTCTCCCATTTCATGTGTGCTACCTCAGTTGTCCTAACTTGATGGTTCACCTGCTGTCAGTTCCAGGATAGAGTTTCCTTTGAGAGAACAGCTAGCTGGGCTTTCAGCAGCCTAAAGAAACAGGAATTAACCTGTAGTCTTCTTCCGACTCAAGTGCAGTATGTGATATCCAGTAGAACCTCAAGTTCCCTTCCCTGCCCAGCCAAATGGAAAAAGCCGATTTTCCGTAACTACCGTGTGTTTTTCTTGTTGCTCTTCAGAAGACAACCGTGAAATTCTGGTTTGCCACAGGTGGAGCAGGGTTCTGTATCAGCAGAGGTCTTGCCCTGAAGATGAGTCCCTGGGCCAGGTAAACACTGTTCCTAGCTGAGCTCCATCAATATGTGTTTGGTAGGCTTTAAAGCCTATTTCATCGTCTCCTGTGCTCTGTCTCACAGCCTAGGTAATTTCATCAGTACTGCAGAAAGAGTGCGTCTTCCTGACGACTGCACTATTGGCTACATCATTGAAGGGCTGCTGGAGGTAAAGCTGCTGCACAGCCCGTTGTTCCATTCCCATCTGGAAAATCTGCAGAGACTACAAGGCGAGTCTGTGCTGCAGCAGGTAGGGCTGAGCCTCGTGTCCTGTTCTTATAATTACACCTCAGTCTGATCAGAAAGAACGCTCTCCATAGACTTAGCACTCTTCAGCAAAGAAGGATGTCTACAGACACGCTCAGAGCTGTGTCCTGTCCAATTCCTTCATTTAGGTAAAAAGCATGCTTTCACCCTAGCCAATTAGGTCACATAGCTGTCCCCTCCTTTGGGGACACATTCTGCTACATTAAGCCTAAATATGGTGTTCCCCATCTCCCAAACTCTGACTTTCCATGAGTCACAGAAGCACCAAGTGTAGAAGGAGGCAATATTTAGTTTGCCTGCCACATAAGAAAGTTTTTCTGTCTTTGCCTAACGAACTCTGTCTTAATTCATGCTGTTCAAAACGACTAGTGTCGCAGCTATAGCAAGTACCTCTTCAATAACTAAGACATAGTTAAATGTTTGATCATTTTTAAGAATAACTTGTCTGAATTTCGAGAAACTTAATCAGTGTTTCTTAGAAAAATCAAGTTATCTTTTTCATTGCTGGGATACCTTTTTACTCATGGGCAGTAGATGGAGCTATAAGGCTATCCAGAAGCTTTGTCTGCTTCTTAACTGTTTGGCACCGTGAAAAAACGAGAGTGCGGTTTTGCCCCTACAAACTGCTTGGTTATATTTTCCTGGCAATCGTATTAGGCAGCAGAAATGGACACTTGGGGCCAAATTCCAGCGTGATGCAATCGCCTTCATGTTAGTGAATTTAACTGTAGGCCGAATACAGCCTTTTGTTGGTGATCATTGTTTCCCTGAGACTGTAATAGCTAACCCAAAATCCAGGAAATCTACAATTAGGAAGAAAATGTAAGTTGTCTTGTACCTGGCACCTGAAAATTTCTTAATACAGTGCTTGTGTGGAAGAATAGCACTGAATTGGCATTCCAGAGATCTAAATTTTGTTGCCAGATTTGTCACACGGCAGTCCTTTGCATGCCATTTAACATCCAAATGTTTCTATTTTCCTTCTGTGCTAAGACACTACTATTGCAGACTTCAGGCAATGTCTGGTGAGGATGAACATATGTTGTTTAGTGAAGGTACAGACATTGGCAGGATTAATGCCCTTACAAAGCTGACAGTTGTAAGTCATCTTGTCCTTCAGGGCAATGCAACTTTCAGCTCCTTTGTTTATTCTCCCACGTTGCCTTTAGATGAGCGGTGGTCCGTTTGATAGCTACCATTCAGTGCCAATATTGCTTGTGTCAAAACTAACCACTGTTCTTCAAATGTCATCCACCGTTCAGATCAGACAGGATCCTTGGAGTCTTTCCTCCTACCTCACTAATAATCCACTCTGGTTTTCTGCATTGGTGTTACAATTTCTGAATATTTATTTGCTTTTACAGGTAACCCTAAGTTACGGGGACCCTGAGAACAAACACAATGTTGTGAGTGTGGGAGGAGTGTTTGGCCTTCAGCAAGATCCAACCCGGTGAGTGTCCACTTCCAAGACAAGATCTCCCTGCCTTGTTCATGTTTATCAACTGTAAGATGATCAAACTCACTAATGGGGTTATTTTCTCTTGTTGGCTCTTGTCGCTGTGCCAAAGGCAGGTAGACCCATCCTCTCTGCTCTTTTAGACTGCTGCACGTTCAATGCTAGTACCTCCCTTATATGGAGAATTCCAATCTAATATTTTCTCTTTTTTTCTTCATAGATTTAAATCTGTCCATTGTCTGCTCTATCCTGACACTATTTGGTGCCCTGCTAAGAAGATGTCATAATTCTTGACCAGTCGTTGACACCTGTATCTTACCTAGTTTGCATAAGACAGGAGTTATGGTGGACTTTTTTGGGTTGCGTTGGGTTTTTTTTTTCTTCTTCTGGGAGACAACCAGAGGTATCTACAAAGGAGGTAGACAGACTCTACTTACAAAACCAAGAAGGTGTGGTTTGTTCAGCTGTAGCCTGGGACATTCCAAGAAGAATCCTTGTTCTTTTGTCCAGTGGCTCTTCGTATGATGACTACAGTCATACGTATACGAGTCACTTGACACTTTCATCTGATGTCACGTGAATCTGTGCTTGGACACATCCTAGGCAAATGCAGTACTTGGAATGATAGCATTCTTACTACTGTTAGGGGCTTTTAGAGGCCATTGTCTTGAAGCTGGAGTGCTATAGCAGACTGTAGTCCCCATGGTGACAAGAGAGGGGAAGCTTTCACTCGTCTTTCTTGGGAACAGAATTATTTAAGAGCTTCTGTGGCCTTCTATATTAAAACTCCACCTGTGGGCCGGAACAGGGTCTGTTCGTAAACACCAGTAATCCTGGAATCACTAGGGTGAACAAAGCTGAAAGCCTTTGTCATGGGAAAACCCCATGTAAGGGTAAGCTTACTCAGGACTGGATAGGAGTTGCTTACAGTGCACATTCTCCCCTGTAGTCCATGTGTACCTCCCATGGAGGTGATTGTCAGACTTGGCTCTCTTACCAGCTGAATTGCAGTCATTGTTGATTATGATGGTGGTCTGCCAGGTCCAAGACTATTCCCTTGATATTTGATACTGAAGAAATATTTGCCAGACTAGATGGTAATCGCTTCTCCTGCTTTGCCCGCAGCAGGCTGTATGAGCTAGAGCACGTTCATTGGCTGATGAAACACGCCCTGTTTCTGAAGTTGTGCTGTATCTTTTGCTGTCTGCGAGGGAGGAGGAATGCTAGATAGCTGTAATGCCCTGAGGAAGTTTTTGATGGTATCATTTGAGGACCTTTAATTGTATGACTGTGGTTACTCCACTTCAGCTTCTTCAGATAATCTTTTCATTACCTTAAGGTCTAGATCAGTGTTTATTTTTACTCTGCTTCTTAATGTTTCAATAAATAGTTCATGCAGCCACTAAAAGGAGGCGGCGCACTCACACAAAGGTAGAAGTTCAATGCTGTAGCAGTATCACCTGCTGCTGTTTTTTTAAATAAAGTAAGCTTAGTTTTGAAAGCAGAAGAAATGGGGCTCCATATGTTTACTTTTCTGTTAGCCCCAACTTTGGCCATGTGCAATCCCTACCTGACATGAAGAACAGCATAAAAAAATGACTTTGCAAAACCACTGTTTACTCTCACAAACTCTTCAGAAAATACTTGTTGGTTCAGTGCTAGAGTCTGAGGCTGAATTAAGGGGAGAATAATAGAATGACATTGTATAACCTGGAACTATGATTAATGGCTAGAATGTGGACCTGGCAAAAGTTTCAGATTTCTAAACAGCTGTGCTGAGCCCTACTGTGGGCTTCAGCTAGTTGCTTAACTTCCTGCCATTTGAAAAGTGGTATAATGTAGGCAAACGCCTGCGGTGAATTCAAGTATGAAACTTAGCAGAGGTGCCAGCCTCCTGAAATACACTGTTCCCTGCACTCTGTTTTTTAACACAAACTTTTCAGCATTTACCTGGGTGCATTTTCCTCTCTGGATGATTTTAGTTAATTCCACTGAGGAGCAAACAAGCTGACTGCCACTTGCTACAGTCCTGCAGCTCATTCTTAAATTTCTCCTTTCCTTTGTGTCTGCTAAAGGTGACCATGAGGTATGGGAGTAAGAATGCCACAGGGAATCGGATCTAAGTCCAGCTAGCACAGTGGCTGTTCCATAACAGGTACACCTGTAACACTGACAGCCTGTTACAGAAAACAGAGGAGGACTTGTGGAAGGTTGTGATATGTTCTACCTCTTTATTAGGTCTTCTGCTCACTAGAACTGAGGCGTCCTATGGTTTAATGATTTGTCATTAAAAGCTCTGGAGATTCCTGGTATCTATACAAATACTTTCTTTTTTAAACGCTTGTTAGGTTCTTGTTTTCAACCTCCTGTAGCTGAAAGCTGTGAAACTTCATGAGCTCTTGATGAGATTTTTGTCTTCAAACACTGATTCTGAACTCTTCTGTTGGAGCTTTTCTTCCTCTTCCACTGGTAGCAGCCTCTTGTAAGATATCGCAGACAGCGTGGACTGGGTAGTGATTATGTGGCAAAGTGCAGTTCAGAAATGACACCACCTCATATGGATGGCTGCGAAACTGAGTAGTAGAAGTTTCACACTAGTCACTGGTCACCCTGAACTAGGTGTGCCAAAGAGGCAGCATACTCTAAGCTGGTAGGGTGTTCATTAAACTGAAAAAGGACCACGTTCTCCTGCATGGCAGCAATACAGAAGTGTTCAATGCATTCAAGTTTCTTTTAAGGTTTCTTGTGTTGACAATACAGTAGGCTGTGTGGATATATCGGGATGCAGCTTTTTAATCAAACTACTGTCTCATACATAAAGTGATTCTACAAAATAAATATTTAAATGTGTCAAAGGCTGTGTTTTGTTATGTTTCTTGACACGTTATCTACACCAAAAATGGACCATAAACCCTGTAATCCAGAAAACTACAGCCTCCTGTCAGGCTGTTGTGATGTCAAATGGCCAAAAAGCACGCGAGTTAGATGACTTGGATGTGCAGAGGAACAAATATGGATGAGAAGAATCCTTGTGGATGATGATTTACAGAGTAAAAGACTTGACAAGGAGTAAGTTAATTGTTGTAAATTTGTCTCAGCACTTTCTTATTCTATTTCTGCACTTACTAAATGTGCCACAGGAGCTCTTAAATTTAAGGGTCCTCAGAAAGCAACGGCTGAATTGGGTAGTATTACAAACGGACCTGTTAATAGGGTGCGTAATTGCCTGTGCTGCTCTGCTGTTACACCGTGCCAGCTCTGCGGATCAGAAGTTGGAACTGCCCTGCTGACTGCCATTGGAAGTAAACTGTGGTGCAGTAGCTTATCTAGGACCTCTTAACTACCTCCAGCCTGTTCTTCTGTTGTGCCTGCCAGCACATTGCGGTTGTCGCGCAGGTGCTGCACGAGAAATCCTGTATGCCTCGGTCCTCAGGCAAGTGGAGCCCCTGTACTTGCAGCTGATTTTCTAGGCAGTGACTGTTACAGACTTCATCAGCAACTTCAGGTGGGCAGAGGCGGCAGGTCTTTTCATCACCTGGCAAAGCGCCTGTTTTTCTGTGGTCTCTCACTACGATACTTCAGTGAGAATCGGAGCCAAGAAAATTCATCTCTGCGTGCCCGTCTCTTGCTGGGCGAGCCCAGACCTGCCTTCTTGCTGGGTCCTCTGAGGGGAACTAGGGGCTGCGGCAGGGTGGGCCTGCGTTCCGCCCTCCTCGCGGGTGCCTTCGTTGAGAGGCGGCCCGTCGCCGGGCAGCGCGTCCAGCAGC